ATTTAAAAAAAGATCGGCAATTTAGTAAAATCGAAAAAGTACCGCTGCACAGACTATATAACACCACCTCAAAATTTCAGTCAACAACAGCAAGTTTATGCACGACAACAACTTCGACGAATTAATGATCCGAATCAGCAAACTCTTATTCAAAACCCTGATCAAGGAATTATTGTATTCGATAATTTATTACCATTTCAAAAAATGACTAATGACGGCAACAATAACAACTTTCTTGCATCATCATCATCTTTAATAATAACCCAAATTTTAATAATGATCACAATTTAAATTTAAATGTCTCTTCATTCAATTATGGAAGCATTCACATGAGCAACAATGAGGACCCTTTAATTGCGGCTATTTCTCATCATATGCTAATGATTAAAGAATGTAGGACGAAGCTTGATCAACATTACTTTGAATTAGAACAAAATTTCAAAAGGTTAAGGTCTAGAGACAATTAAATTGTCTATCACATTATAATTAGAGTGTCTAGAAATATGCACATTATTTTATTATTTATTTTCTTATTATTATTATTATTATGGTTTAGGATGAGAAAGATTTCGAGTAAGTAATAAAAATTGATACATCTAAACGTAAAAATAAGAATGTTGAATATTTAATTAATATATTTCAAAAAAAGAAAAAAAGATTAAAGCGGCTAAACTTACTAAAAATTAATACATGAGCAATATTTAATATAGTAAAGTCATTGAACGTAACAATCGTTTTTACAATAACTTGCCTAGTATTTTATTAATATTTTTAAAAAACGGTTATTATACTCAATGCTTTCACTATGAGAATCTTTATGATTTACATTTTTTCTGCCGATGTCAACAAAGTAAAGGACCTTTTGATTTTGTGTCAAAATTGACAATGATGTGTATACTGTTAAAAAATACAAGCCGTACTGAAGATTTCAATCAGAAATAATTTAAAAAAATTTATTTATTTAACAATATTTAAAACTCTAAGATTTTAAATTTGGCCAAATGGTGACTATAGACGGATATCACGCACTAAGTTTGAGATAGCTTATCAGTCACAGGACATTTCCGCCGATCTATAGGAGGTTGCAAAACAGTAAAATTTGGATGATCTGCATCATAGTAAAATTCGAATTTACATAGTAAAATTTTATAATCGAATGTCTTCACAC